TCACAATGTCAGGAGGGGAGTGGTCGACAATGTCAACCTTCATCTATGAAAAAGGTACCCCAACACAGAATCGAGTTAACACGTGTTAGATACCAGTGAGTTGGAATTGTGTTTTTGTAGTGGTAGATACACTACAGTCCCATAACAAAGGATATTCTTATTACATTAAAAGTGCCTGTTTAGACAGTTTCTGAAAATAGAGTTTTACATCCTTCGTTCAGAAATCCCTGTGGCAGAATTTTTTCCTGCTTTCTGATACATACCTCTTCAGAACTAATATCTTGCTGCTAGATACTTTTAATAATAACAAATACACATGTTACTAATTTAAAGTAACAGAAGCGTCAACTTAAAAAAAAAAAAAAAAAACAAACAAACAAACAAACAATTTCAAACAGAATGAAATAATTTTAAAATTGAATATGTAATATTATGGGCAATATTCTCGCATTTTGTAAGAGGAAAACACACTAATTATTTCCCTTTTGGCATTTTGTATATCATCACCACATTAAATTATTTTTTTTTAAATGCTTAGCTATAACTAGCAGAAAAAAGATCAACGGCAAAATCACACAAATCAGACTCTTCAAAAGGGGCTACTAAATGCGTGTTTTCCTTTTGAGATTTAGTTGTTGTAATAAATAATATTGTATTAAATATATCGGATATTAAAAACTATGCGAAAATCAATGGTTATAAGTACATAAAAAATAGAATTCAGCAGAAAAGAAAACTAAACTTTTTATTTCATTATTCTCAAATGAGAATAGAAAAAAACAAGAATTTTTTTTCCCACTCAGATGTGCGAGAAAGTCATCTTTTGAATATAATTCAGAAGAAAAGATAAACTCTTTTAAATATTTCTGCAGAAAAGAAAACCAAAATTTTTTACTTTACAAAGGAAAAATCTCTCTGCCAGAATTCAGCGCTTCGAAACAATGAGAGGAATTTTCTGTATTCAATACAAACTTTCTGCTGTTTGCAGTGAATGGTCCTCGGGAGAAATTATTGTGATTGAGGTTCAACTACTAAAAAGATTTTGGGTTATTTTTCTCACCTGCAACACAATGTGGCTAGTGAATGTGTGTTTAATGCATCTAACAACAAACTCAGTCTCAGATTCAGTGAGTNTATCCTCCAGAATTGGTTTTTAATGCTGATGAAACAGGCCTGTTTTGGAAAAGAATGCCAAAACGAACATTTCTATCCCGTGAAGAGAAACGAGCACCAGGATTTAAAGACTTAACACTTCTACTGGGTGGTAACACAAGTGGAGACTTCAAATTAAAACCACTCCAAAAACCCAAGAGCAATGAAAGGCATATCTAAAACAAACTTTACCTGTAATTTGGGTGTCTAATAAAATATCATAGATAAATATGAAATTTTTCCAGGATTGGTTCACTGAACATTTCTGCCCGCCTGTTAAACGTTATTGCGAAACTAAAAAACTTGAACAAAGAGCACTACTGCTATTTGATAATGCTCCAAGCCACCCAACAAATTTATCAGACTTAACAACATGCATTCCAGTCGAAGTGGTTTTTTCCCCGCCTAACACAACTGCATTAATCCAACCAATGGACCAAGGCGTTATATCCAATTTTAAGGCTTACTACTTGCGGTGAACATTAAAGCAGATGTTTGACATAATAGAGATTGTTTGACATAATAATTGATTGCTTCTCCGTAGAAGAGAAGCAATCAATTAGAGAATTTTGGAAAAACTACAATATCATGAATGCTGTAGAAAACATAAACCTTTCTTGGAATGAGATAACAGAAAGATCTTTGAAAGGAGTATGGAAGAACATTTGGCCTTATTTAAGTAAGAGCGAAGACATTGGACACTCTGTCGATATGGATGAAATAGTGGAATTAGCAAAACAAACCAGTTTTGATGAGGTAAATGTGGAAGACGTCGAAGAAATAGTTCAAGAAACAGCAGCTAGTCTTTCTAATGATGAGCTCAAGAGGAATTAACTGAGCAAAAGGAACTTTCGATGGCGTTTCTAAAAAGGAGTTTGACCACTATAACTGAAATTATGGACCAATTTGTTGAAAATGATCCAAATTTTGACAGGAGTTCAAAAGCAAGACGGAGTGTTATAGATGCTTTATCCACTTATCAACTTCTAACAGAACGCAAAAGGAAAACACAAATTACATTAGATGCCTTCTTGACATAAAAGGCAGAAAATTGGAAACCCAAAAGAGACTGAATAATCTGACTGACTTAGAATTTTATTTGTTTTTATAAGTACGTATATTCATTTATATTGTTTTTATTTTTGTAATAAATAAATGCTTGGTTTTATTTTTATTAAAAAAAGCATAATTATCAAATTTAATACCTAGCCAATTTTCAATCCATCTTCTCCTAACCCCATTTTTTACATGTTAAGATAGACTCGATTAGCGGTTTCGCATTACGCTCTACTTTGATGGAACCTGCGTGTTAAGCGGGGTCTTACTGTAAACTCTTTTAAATATTTCTGCAGAGAAGAAAACCAAAATTTTTTACTTCACAATGGAAAAATCTTTCTGCCAGAATTCAGCTGTTATGCGACAATGTCGCCGTGTCACCATGATACTGCCACGGTGCCAGAAATTATGCCAATAGCTAAAAAATAATAAGGCAAAAATGCCTCAAGCATCACATTTGATGTTTATGCATCAGTTGATAAAACTTGTTGTATTGCAGAAACTGATAAAGTACAGATCCAATACCACTGCCAACAATGAATATTTGCAATCGCTTCGAAACAATGAGAGGAATTTTCTGTATTCAATACAAACTTTCTGCTGTTTGCAGTGAATGGTCCCCAGGAGAAATTGTGATTGAGGTTCAACTACAAAAAAGAATTTGGGTTATTTTTCTTACCTGCAACACAATGTGGCTAGTGAATGTGTGTTTAATGCATCTAACAACAAACTCAGTCTCAGATTCAGTGAGTTCAATAGGAAGAGAAGATTTAAACAATGGACCCAAGTTCAATGAAGAGAGTTCCGGAACAGCTGACAATTGATCTGAAAATATCAAATTAAAAATATCAGAGACGATTTTATGTTAACTGTTGTCTTGAAGAGCACTTGCTTAGCTTCACAAAAAATAAAAGCTTCCGCAAAAATCAGTTTTGAACATTNAAAATATAAACAAAATATACTATCATGCTCGTTTAAAAAAAGATAAAAAAGACTATTACTTAACTATAATTCACTGAATTTCAACTTTTTTTTTTGTTATTTGTAATTATAATCAGAATACATTAGTGCTATATTTTTAATAGAATGATTTTTAGTTATGTAATAAATAGTGTTTTTTCTTCAATTTCTTCCTTCTCTTTTTCTTTTTAAACTAGTACAATATTCTTTTGTTTACATTTTCATAATTAAATTTAATAAAAATTCAAATTATTTATTATAAAATAAAAATTCTGCCAGCTTATCAAAAAATTTTAAGTTACAATTTCTTTAAATATTATCCATATTACCATATAATTATCCATATATTTTGATAAAAAATAAAATACTTAGCCCCCAACTACTCCGGCAGAAAGCGGATAGCCTAACCATTAGACCGCAAATCCACACATTGTTAGTTTAAATGAAATGAAATCTTTGTGACTTTTTTAAACCCGACAGTAAACTTTTACCCTATCTAATGCTTTCAAACATACTTTTGTATATAAGATTAATTTCATTTTAATAGAAATTGTACACATGTGCACTTCATGTGTTAGTGGAAAAAGACAAGCAGCATTTACGTTGATTTAATAACATCAGCTTAAAACAATATAGCAAAAGTAGGATACAGTTCACATAGGAAACCATCTTTAGACTAAAAAATTACGCTTTTTCAAAATATAATGTCATACCTTCTTTCTCTTAACTACTGTAAATATAAATTTTTTAAAACTTAATCAGAGTTGCCACTCAAATCTGGAGAAAAAAAATTCCCTGTATATATTATACACAATATATTAAGAGGAAACAACAATTTTACTGTGCTCTTGTGTAAGTTATAGTGGGTTAACTATACTAGTCTTATTTGCTGGAAAAACTTAAGAGTAAAAAAGGAACAGCTGAACATGCTTAAATAATGCTATAGTAAATGAAATAGTTAAGTATAGTCGAAATATCATCCTTAAATATCCCATTGATTACACATTGAGTGGTCACCATTTTTTAAAAGATAAAAATAAGAAACAAAATTCCCTGTTTTTTCCCCAAATTGTTAAGAAAAAAAAAATCAAAATTCCCTGCATTTTCCCTGTTATTTAAGGAGATTTTAAAATTCCCTGTATTTTCCAAGTTTTCTCTGTGAAGTGGCAACCCTGCATAAGTAGGAAACTGTACATATTTTCTATTTGGAAACCATCCCTGGCATAGTTCATTTTAGACTAAAAAATTATGCTTCTTAAAATATCACTTCATACCAACTTTCGCTAAACTATTGTAAATATAAACTTCAAAGCTTTATTTATAAATTTAATAAACAAAAGAGATGTACCATTCAAGATGAATTGAGAGTAAAGTCCTTTTTGCTTCTGATTTAAGATATTTAAATAGTAGGTTGCTCTGTCTCTCACTTCATCATCACAATCAAGGAGGCTCCTCTGCAGAAGAACTAAAATATTTGGGAGAAGCTCTTCACAGTGAGCGCCAAACTTAGCCAAGGAACTGACAGCAGCTGCAAAATATATGATCAATCACATGAATGTAAAATTAAAATTTGTTTTGCATCACAGGAGATTAGGGATAGAAAGAACAAAAAATACAATTATTAAGTAAGGCTGTTAAAATTTTTTTTCCCTATCAAAAAAGTTTATAAAAATAACTTTATATTAAGTCATAAATATTATTATGCTTTAATGTAAACGGAATATCTCAACCTGGTTACTATGTTATGTACTCATAAATCAAACGAATTCTTGAATACTTCTTTTCTTCTTAAAATTATGTGACATGTGAATAAATGTTTTCATTGCTCCATTTTGTTTTTCAATGTTGCCATATTTTATACTAAATTTCAATAAACACACACACAAAAAAAAAAACATTCTAAGTTTTTGACACACTTAATATTTGTATTTTTTCACCAATCAGCATGCATTTATGTATGTGCATATATAATGATAAAAACTACAACTAAAAAATTGCATTTACATTAAAAACTTTGAGAAAGAAACAAAATGCATAAAATTCAGGAAAATGGAAAAAAAATTTCATTATAAAAGAACTAATGTTGTTAACATTTAAATATGCAATAACAATGTCTAACACAATATATTGAAATAGACAATAATGTGATGGTTAGGTATCAAACACTTTATTCCATAATGATCTACACTTAATTGGAACTAATTATTTTGATACTTTTTAATTCTTAAACCTCCCTCACACTAGCAAAACAATGTTTGATAGGCTGACCATGGCGCCACAGAAGAGAAGATGTCTATTTTTCCAGAAGTCAATGAGTGCAGCAGTTTGCCAAACCAATGAGCTGAGACTCTGCAAACTACAAACTGGGTTGGAGAAGAAAACTAGCAGTCACTGATAGCTCAAAAAATGCACCCCTGTTTATGTTTTAGCGCAATTTTTATTTGTAAAGTAAAAAGTAATTTAAAATTGTTTTTTTAGTGACATTTAATAGACTATATTACTTCAATAAATGAGTCAAACTTAAAAGATATGCTAAATCAATCTTTAATTATTCCTAAGTAAAATTATCTTCCAGTTTAATTTCTTTATGTTTATTTCCCAGGTAAAAATAATTTTTTACTTAATTATTCCTAGCGATATTAATTTTTCTTCTCCGTGTTGTGTTATAACAACAAATTATAAATTAAAATAATTTAATTTAAGCATGCCATTAAGTACAAAGAAAAATTTCTACAGCTATATCCGAAGTAGCAGAAACTCTCCAGCAGATGATTTTTCATCTAAGATTTCTTTATATTTTTAAATAGTAAACAGAGATCACTTAAGACGCCTTTTTAAAAACATCATTTAATTTAAATAAAGAGCTGAATAGAGACAACACCAGAAAGAACAAAAATTAAAGATTTTTTCCCTCCCCGTTACTTGATTACAGGCTGAACTTTTAAAGATTTGATCCAGTGTTTTTTTCGTATTCCAGTTTCTTTTTTTTGTTGACATAAAATTAATTTAAAGTTAGTTGAATGCATGCTTACTTAAGAGGGGGCCATACCAAGGAAGAAAGCTTTCCTTGCAAATTCTCTTTCTCCTACATAACTTACTTAAAATTTAAGTATAAAAAATAACTTCAGACTAAATCTAGAGTAAGCCATGAAGTTTCAGACACTGAAAAGAAGTTTTCAAAAATAAATTAAGAGGTGATAACTTAGGATTACGCAACAGAGAAGTTCTCTTCTAATAATTTGTTTGCATTTTAATATTTTGAAGTACTTTTTTCGGCAACTGAAACTCCTTGAATTACTCTACATTTGCCTGAACTTACTTTTCCTTTATTTTAAACTAGTAATGAAAGAGAAAGAATTCGCGACAAATTTTTTCTTCTTGCATCATGGCCTCCTTTTAAAGGTATTTGAAGGACCATTAATTTTAAAACAATTCACAACATTGTTAAACACCTCAAAAAAAAGAAGGTAGATTTAAAAATGAATTACCTGCTCTTACAGAAGCCTTTTCTAAAATCAATCTATTGTAAATGTATCTGATGTATTTACAAGGTTGAGATGTCTTTGGGCCTTCTTTTCCAAGTAAATACAAAACTTTAACACCCAATGAAGTGTGTTCACAATCCTCAATGAACTCGCACAGGTGAGCAAGTCCTATAGAGATATTCATTCATAATTTAAAATCTACATTCAAAACAAGCTGCAAATATTTATCTATAAATTAGTGTCATTTTTAAAGATAAAGTAATGAAAAGAGTACTTAAAAATGTGACTTTTAAATTTTGAAACATTTCTTGCTATCAGTTTAAATTATGAGTATTCAATGGTACAAAGGTAGCAAAAAGAGCAATATAGAAAGTACAAATAAAAAATATAACAGTTTTGATACTATAAGCGAGTATCATCATTAGTGTCTGAATATAGAAGCAGTTTTTGCATCTCAGCAATAATGGCAAAAAACTACATTATACATGCATTATTTCCTATTCTACAGCTGCTAACATGCATAGGGAAAAATCCAATAGATTTCATGAAATATAAAATTCTTGATAATTGTAACAAAATGTACTCAATATTTGACACATAAGGAAATTTTAGAGATTTTTATAGCCTTCAAAATTAAAAAAAAGAAAAACTGCAATATTTTCCAGTTACGATTAACATTAAATGTTTTATGTTTATGGTTAATTTTGAATAGTAATAGGTTTTTAATTCTTCAAAGATAGTTAATTGATTTTTATAAATGAGGCTCGCTTCTTTATGTATTAATAACACTTGTTTAAATATTCAAGCAAGCAAAAATTCTATTTTGAAAGTAATTTTTTTTAAGGAAGCTTACTCAATTTTAGGAAATTTTCTAAAGTGTACAAAACCCAGGAGAAACTGGCGAAATCAAGTAGTCTACTTGAAAATCCAGTACAGTTGGCCGCTATGCTATTCTATATTTTCCACAGCAATAGGAAAATTATACTTACAGTTTTTAAAATTTTTATATTTTTAACACTTTATTTTATTTATTTAATTTTTGGTATAACATATTTCTCTTAAGTTTTTTAACATTTTGATATTCCCAAACAATGATTCAACAACAAATGAAGGTTTATTTTTCAATCTTCCCTCCCTGTTGCAATTTGGGGGAGGAAGAGGTCCAAGGGCAATTGCTGCAGATATGAACATTTTTAATATTGTAAAAAATCAATTATTTACCAGCTTCTTTTCCATCAGGGCTATCTTCGATAATATTAATGATGGTATCCACGATTGCTTTCTTATATTCAAAGCCACCCTCATCTCTGAGTATACCAGATAAGAAATTCATCATCACATTGTGCTTCCTGGGAAATTTCTGGCACAGAGATCTGTAGCACAAAAGAGATTTTTTGTAAAGAATTTCTTTTTTATAAAGCATATTAAAACAAGTGTCAGCAGTTTAAAAGTTTGAGGTACTGAAAAAGGTTTGAAAAGTGAACAAATTTAGATAAATTATTGCATACCTGCCAACATTGGAGAAATAAAGTAACAGAGATTTTACTAGCAACATTTTTTAGGTTACGAGTAAAGTTTTGATACATCATGCATAATAATGTAAGTCAAAAAGAGAAATTCAAAATTGGAGATAATATCCCATATAGCACTCATCTTCCGAAACCTTTCCCTAGGACCTCCTAAATGCATCCCTTTCTTCCGAGGGAAGGCGCGGATAAATAGGGGAAAGCCAAGGGAAATTCCATTCTAACATTCCTACGGATAACGGTACGTAGGAAGTCCTTCGGAAACATCGCCTATGGATATTCCTCCACCGGTCATCCGTTAGAAATCAATCCAATGGATTTTCCCCCCTGGTTATTCCGTAGGAGCATCATAATTACTTATGTCTGTGCGTGCAACCGGCTGAGCAATTGCGCACGCGCTAGATGTGCTTGACTAGAATTCAATTCTCACCAAAGAATTTTTGAAAAGTAACCCTGGAAGAAATTGCGCGGAGGTATACATAGTTTGTTGCTTACAGGTGTAATCAAGTGTAGCTATGTTGACTGTTGTAATTTTGAGCTCTTCATTTATGATTCAGTAAATAAAGTAAGTTAATCGTTTTGAATAATTTTTTTCAGTTTATAATATTGTATCTATGTATTTTAAACGTTTACCACGTTTTATAATTCTAATTATCTGTGTTAAAGTAGTTAATGATTTCCACGTTACTGAGTTAGGCCTAGTAATATACTTGTTCTCCGATTTTATCTATGATATAATAAGAAATGTCTGTTAATAACAAGAGTATTATTTTAATGATACGATAGTTTATTATTTTGTATATAAAAACTATAATCAATAAAAAAATTTCTAAACTGTTTAATTCTTTTATGTGTGTAGAAAAGGTAAAATATAATAAAAGGTAGGTGTCAATGAACCATCATTTACAATTAAAAGGTTTTCAATTGTAAATAATGGTACATTGACATTGATAATTACTTTTCTTTAAAATTATATAACCCTATGTCGTAATGTGGTAATTGTAGACTTGTATATCACATTGAATTAAACTTAAGTTATTATAAAATAGCACCGTAATAAATCTATCAAATGTTATCTGATTCATTCATTGTTTTATAATTGCAGTTTTTACTAAATGATGTATTTAGCGACATATTTTCAACTGAATCTACTTGTGCAAAGTGCCAGTAAAGTTAAGATTATTTTATAATTATTTATATTTTTCATCAATAATTGATGAAATACCAGAATGCATATAAGTACAGTAAGATTTCCTAAGGAGAGGTTGTGCAAGCATTCCTTTTAACTGTGGAGAAGTGATCAAGTTGAGCTATAATCTATGATGCACGATGGCTCAGTGGGGCTTTAGTGAGGGAACTTGTTTATTATTTTGATATCAAGTCTTTCCTTCTATTGCCCCTTCTAAGCCGCATCGCTTGATTTCCACAAACAAATTGGAGTTTTTGGGAATCTAATAATGTAGATGTATTAGTAAGTATAATTATATGTATTAGTAGCCTAAGGGAAAGCCATAAGATTCAAATCTACCTCAGCACTTCCTAAAGAGAGTACCCGAGGAAAGTATGCGACATTGAAACTTCCTCAGTTCTTCCTTAGGAGACTGCCCGGGGAAAGCCATCGGAAAGTATGAGACCTTGAAACTTCCTCATCATTCTTCCTCGGCTCCTCCTATGGAGTGATTTTCGGGAAGCCCGCCGGAGGAACTGAGGAATTGAAAGGTGGGGACATTTTGCATTACTGAGGAGCTCCGCGAGAGGAATTCGGGAAAAGTCGGAAGCTCCGGGGGAGGTTGAGCGATTCCTCCGTGGGAGCTACTACGGAAGAATTTTTGCTATATGGGATAAGCACTTATATTTAGTGAGGTAAAAAATATGTATACAAATCTTAAGATTTTTTAAAACTATAATTCATAATTACTTAAATTATTTTATTTTATAACTGTCGCTGAACAGCAGATCCAATTTTGGGTTTATGAATAATGTTCAACTACGTAGCCTTGGTAATTCTTAACTCGATCCAGAAAACAAGGAAAATCCTGGTACAAGTATTGGGAGAAATTTGCCTTTGTGGAGGACGGTTTGATGGAACAAACCCGCATTTGAGTTACAAGGGGAGGAAAATCCACAGTAAGCCTGATGGCAAGGGGACTCACCACTGAGGATATTTTACGCCAGGCATAAGTGGTTGGTGCAAGTTGGATTCGGAATTCATATCGGCCAGTCATCGCTGGGATTTAAACTCGGATGACTCCATAATAGGTGAACGCTATATCCCCTGAGCCATCACGACTTGATTTAAACTACCAACACTCAACATACTGAAGTATCAGCCATAGCATCATTTATTGAGGAATAAGAGAAGTCTTTTTGCCATCAGTGGATATTTAAAAAAAAAAAAACTTTCTTTAAATTTCTGAGATTATACAGGTAAACAGGAGATAGTCATAAAATACAGTAGTCTTAGTTAAAAAACAGGAGACTTGGCATGTATGTTTAAGTATTTTGGCTGATATGTAAAAAACTTTTAATCAATTTGTATCTCAATTTTTAGGTCTTAAATTGAATTATTTAGGAAACAGTAAAGCTTAAAAATATAAATTAATAATCAAATCATCATCATCATCATCATTAGATCATCATTTTGTTTAAAATACTATAATATGCATACCCTTTTGATCATCACACATTCAGCATTTTTATAAAATCTACTAGAAAAATGTTCAAGAGCTGAAAGTGTCAAAATGTGTTGATTCTTATAAATTAACCATACTTTCAGCCAAATAATTTTAAACTTCACGATACATGAAACTCTACACCACCAGAATCAGCCAATACACATAACCATCATTCAATTTCCTCAAAAAGACTCAGTACTGGACTACTATAAACAAACCTGTTATTCGTAATGGTCAACCAAGAATTTCTTAAAGAAGATTCCATACAGCAGGGGAAACTTTTTGCCACAAATTCTCTTTCACTTCAATAACTAATTTAAAATTTAAAGTGTAGAAAAAATGAGTTCAGAAAAACCTAGAGTAAGCCATAAAGTTTCAAATCCTGGTGAGAAATTTTTAAAATATCAGAATAAAACGCGAGAAGATAATTTAGGATTACACAACGGAGAAGTTCTCTTCCAATAATTTGTTTTCATTTTGATATTTAGAAAAAAAAAACTTCAGCAATTGAAACTTTATGACTTACTCTATGTTTGTCGGAATTCACTTTTTCCTCTCTTTAAATTAGTTATGGAGAGGAAAAAGAATTCACAATGAAAAGTTCCCCCCTCGGTATGACATCTTTTTAAGTGTATATAAGTTGAGAATGGCACCGAAATTTTCTTTTTTCAAAACCAAGACAAAAGGTCTCTACACTCATAGATCAGATTCAATTTTTGATTTTAGACTCCTTGATATTTGTTTTAATTTAAAAAAAAACTATTGATGATCTAGAACAGGGTGCATAGCCAAATCTTTCAATGAAAAATAAGCACCTTTTAAGCACTTAAAAATATTATGAAGCCGTATATATAATAACAAAATGCAAAATAATTTTCAAAGACTTTACATGATCAAGATAAATTAACTAGTTTCTGACAAAGAATGCTTTTCTTGATTATATAAGGCATTAAAAAAATGATCAATAGATTTTTCGGTTCGATTTCACAGGATGAAAAATTAAGTATGAAATTATGAAAATCTTGCAAAATGCAGCAGAGTTGCAAATGAGAATCTCATCGAACACAGATCAGTAATTGCACATGCAGACCCGCAAATATTTCATAAAACAGGTAAAATGATTGATGCTTTCATACACTACGGACCGACGGTACGCCGAAATGCAGTGGGAAAATGTTGAATAGAACGATGTGAAAACGGTGCTTTTGCATAATGCATGAAATTCGACACAATAAAGAAAAAATATCATTTTTGTAAAAAGGAAATTTAAGCACTTTTTAAAAATATCCAATAAAAAAAGGCTCATTTTAGGGCTTTTAAAAAATCAAATATAAGCACCTTTTTAAAACGTCGCATCTCACCGAACCCAGCTCAGTATATGCACAAGCAGATCTGCAAATATTTCATCAAACAGTTAAAATTATTGCCGCTTTCATACACTACGGACCAACGGTACGCCGAAATGCATTGCGAAAATTTTGAATAGAACAATGTGAAAACCGCGTTTTTGCATAATACATGAAAATCAACAAGGTGAAAAAAAATTCTCATTTAATTTAAGCACTTTTTAAAAATAAAAAAGCATATTTAAGCACTTTTTAAAAACATTGTGCACCATGTAGTATCATTTTTTTACCTTATGGACTGTACAACTACCACTTTGAATTCATCAGATATTTCAGACATGAATGAAGTTATTTGTTTCATGAGCCTATCTACGCTGCTTTCACTGCCAGTCTTCAGGAGAGTTGTTATAGCGAGTGTGGCTATATTACGATTGGAGTCCGTTATCAAGTTCTCAAGGTCAATGTTGCACGCAGTCACTGCAGCTGGGTGTGTCATGGCCACCTACAGAAATAATACTCCATTTGAGAACCAATTGCATTAGAAAGAGTCAAATAATAGCAACAGATATAAATACAATACTCGTTTTTAAAAAAACTGAATGAAACATAAGAACAAATTAGTTTTCTTTAAAATCAGAATAGAGCAATCAAAATATTGTACCTACGTCTTTTACCGTGCAAACATTATTTAATTGCAGTAATAATATAAAATAAATATTATAGTAAATTATCGAGAAATTAAAAACTGGTTTCAGAAAAGGGAATATTAAATTTAATATAGATTTAGACAACTACTGCATGCAGTTTATAATACTGAGTGAATTAACACAACTAATATAAAAGAATAAGGTTCATGCATAAAAGGAATTTCAATTGGATTTCAGACATATACAACAAAAAAGCAAAAATCATTTTCCTACTGAAAAAAAAAAAAATAAATAAAAATGTAACATATATAAAATGTAAGAAATATCAAATGCAAAAATATATATAATAAGGGGATAATGCTTTTAAATTTTTTTTAAAATTCAGTTTGAAATTCATGACTTTTTCTTTAATATTTATCAAAAATAAAATATGATTTTCAGGCAAAACTTACTATGTAAATTTCATTTAAATTTGTAGAATTTTATTTTAAAAATATAGAAAAGTTTCTTAGAAATAATTCTTTTTACATCCAATAACTTTCACTTCGATTTACTTAAAAATTAATTTTAGAAATATACTTTGGTTTTACTTTTACAACAAAACTGTATTTTTTTTCCATCTTTAATGTTTACACTTCTTTTTTTAGGAGCATATAATCAAAAAGTTTATTTTTTTTTTCTCAAAAGATTACTTCTTCAGGGAAAAATATAGAACTTAAAGGTATGGTAAATTTAAACTAATTTATTCTCTTCAACGTTTTGGGCCATTTTAATTCCAGATTGATAAAATTATTAGACTTTTCCCTATTCTCTGTAGCTACTTTGCATTTCAGAAGTTGTAAATAAATAAATACAAGGCAAACCTTATTTAAAGTCTTAACAGCTGCGAATCTCAGAGTAGGTTTTGAAGATGCACAGAACAGCTGTAATACGGACACAGCCGGCGCGAGCTCTCGGGGTGTTGTGGATTTCATATTCACTATCGCATGTGCAGCTTCATAGATGACCATTTCACTCTTATGACGTAAGCAACTTTCAATGAAATCAAAATGGGGACTTTCTAAGCTAAATAAACAAACAAATAATTTTAGTTAAAAAAATGCTTCAAAAACGAAATTATTTTTTTAATCAAGACAGCTAATAAAACAGAATAAAATTCCTTAAATATTAAAATCCCCCAGGGTTGCCACTCAAATCAGGAAAAAAAGTTCCATGTGTTTTCCCTGTATATATTATACACAATATATTACGAGGAAACATGATGAAAATGAGTGAGCTATATTAGGATAACTAATACTAGTTATAATTGCTGAAAAAACTGAAGAGAAATAAAGAACAGTTCAACAGACAAAAAAATACAGCAAATGAAATAGTATAGTATAGCTGAACATCTTTACATAATCCATAATTTGTATTCTGAGAGGTCAACATTCTGTAGAAGATAATATGAAGTAAAAATTCCCTGTATTTTCCCAGTTTATAAAGAAAAATTTTAAATTCCGGCTATAGATAATTTTTTAATTCCCTGCATTTTCCAGGTTTTCCCTAATCTCTCCGTGGAGTAGCAACCCTGTTCTCCAGGTTTTCCACACATATTAATTTGCAAACTCTGTTAAAGTGAAAATTCATAAAAAAATGAATTGGAAAACTGAGAGGAAAATTTGAGCAGAACCATTGAACTAGATTCAGGAAGAATGTTCCTTAAGTCTTTGAAAATTATGAATCAAGCTTTCTTGAATTGTCTTGTGTTATCTTCTGTCAGTCTAGGTTTCGATGCTGAGTAAAGTTCTCATTTACAAAAACTAAACTGTTCCTGTTTTTGGGTCCTTATTCACATTGTTCAGCTTTATTCATAAATCAATTAACATTTGCTAATATTCCAAACTTTTTTGCTATTATTTATTTTGCTTACAGAATTATAAATACTGATTAAAGAATTATTAAATAAAAAATAAAGATTGATTGCTCAAAAAAGTCAGCAGTCAAATGATCATTTACATTTTAAGAGTTGAAACAATGCAAAACAGGCTCAACATTATGGAACTCTTTCATACATTCATAGGAATGATTTAAGAATATTTAAGTAATGCTTCTTGAATATTAAGTTTAAAAAATAAATAATTTTGGTAACAATAATTTAAAAAAAGAATTATGTTCTACACTTTTTTAACCATTTTTACTATTGTTTAGGATTGAGAGGAAAAATTTAACAAATATTACTCAGAAATATGCAAGTCACTTCCTTAGTGCACACTCGTGAAATTTCTCCGAATTGTATAGAAGGAAAACTTGAACGCACCAGGAATTGACTGCTGTAACAAGATTCATAAAAATTACCCATAAAGGTATCTGTTGTAGGCAGGAGTGAAGTGTCAAATAATATCTATGATTGACTATTGTATGAATCAACAATTTTTTTAATTTATTTTACAATCGCTGGAGTGTGAAGACTGTTCCTTACAGGGGGAAAATATGCTTAGTAATGATCAATTAAAATTGTTTCAAATTAGAGATGAAAAAAGTTGCCCAATTTACACATTAAAACATAAGTCATGTCATTAACAGGTTATTGCTGTCCAAAGGTTTGCTCAAATGCAAATTATGCGGAGAACGTTCTGTTTCTCAGACATATAGCAGTTCTTCAAAATTTCCCATTGTTAAGGTGATCATTTAAGGCGATTTGACAGTTTGTGTTAATTCTCTGAAACTTTTGCAGATGTTATTAAATTTGGGAGAGTACTTATTTATCTCATTGACCTTAATTTCACAAGCAAAGTTTTTTCTAACTTTTTTTTATGTAGAAAAAAATGCTTGCAGAAATACTACCCTCTATGAGCAGGACTACTTAATGATTTAAATAATTTAACGAATATTACAATTAAAAAACTTTACACAGCACAGTTATCCATAGATTTTAAGGATAAAAATTACGTACGTTGCAGCATGAAAAATCTAAACTTTCGATAAAAAATTTGTGAGGATAAAAATTTCGGAAAAATCAAGTTATGTATAAAATAAAATTACGAAACAGCTTACCCAGCATCATCGTCTTCAATCAACTTGCTAGCAATTCGAATCTTTGGAAGAAAGAAAAAAAAAATTTAACGAAAACATTGCTTTAAATTTTCATGTGATTTATTCAAACTAAGATAAAATTATATCAACGTACCAATAAGCACACAGCATATGGAGACTTCAGAGTAGTTCTTGTGTATTTTGTGAGAAGTTTTGAGATGGCCAATTTATCATTTTTTCTGATTTGATACAACAGGCCTAAAGCATGATACTGAAGAAAAAAAGAATTTAATGGCTATTCTGTTGGTTTCAGACAGGAAAAATAATAATCTTTAATGTGAAAAATTGTACTACAAGTTTGTAAAAATTGTACTATTAGTACAAAAATTGTACTAATGTGAAAAATTGTACGAAAAATACATCCTAAAAAATTACAGTGGAAAGTCCTCTATACAGAATGGTTGGGACCAGTGGTCGGAAAAACTACATTTTCTTCGTAGTTAACTACAACTACTTTTTTTTAAAAATGTAGTGACTACAAACTACTTTGAAATGTAGTCACTACTACGCTACTTTTAGAAGACAAACTCAACTGGAGAACTTGATTATCACCAATATTCAAAATCATTTTGAATAAAAAATTGGCTTGGTTAAATGTGAGGAGATATTAAGAAGTTTTAATTCCTATTTAACTTAAATAGTTTTTAATTCTAAAGCACATTTAACGCATTTGTTCCTTTAACTACTAAGCTGCATGCTTTTCTCTACAGTGATTTAAGAGAAAAAGTACAAGAAATAATAAATATCTATTCCAGGGCGCATAACCAAATTATTCAACAAAAAATAAGCAGCTTTTAAGCACTTTTCAAGCACTCCAAAAATATTCAGGGTGCGTAGCCAAATCTCTGAATCAAAAATAAGCACTTTTTAAAAACTTTTCAAGCACTTTACAAAAGTTTTCAAGCACTCAAAAAATTCATATTCAATCAATGATATTATTGAAAAACAAAAACTTTTTATAAACAGTTTTNAACCAACTAGTTATACTAGAAATTAAGGACTTTTAAGGACCGTGAATCAAAATTAAGTACTTCTAAGGGCCCTTAATTTTCAAAATAAAAACTAAGCAGTTTTTAAGGACCGTGGGAACCCTGTACATTTTCTTTGTAGTTAACTATAACTACTTTTTTTAAAAATGTAGTGACTCTAAACTACTTTGAAATGTAGTCACTACTTCGTTACTTTTAGAAGACCAACTCAACTGTTGAACTTGATTATCACCAATATTCAAAATCATTTTGAATAAAAAATTGGCTTGGTTAAATATGAAGAGATATTAAGAAGTTTTAATTCCTATTTAAATTAAATAGTTTTTAATTCTAAAGCACTTTTAACGCATTTGTTCTATTAACTACTAAGCTCTATGCTTTTCTTGACAGTGATTTAAGAAAAAAAGTACAAGAAACAACAAATATCTATTCCAGGGTGCATAACCAAATTATTCAACAAAAAATAAGCAGCTTTTAAGCACTCCAAAAATATTTTAAGCACTGGTGTTTTCATACACTACGGACTGACAATACGGCGAAATAGATTGGGGGTGAATTATGAAAACGTTGAATAAAACAATATGAACTGTGTCTTTTTGCAGAATTCGAAACGAAAATCAACATAGTAAAGGAAAAATCTCATTTTGAAAAAGGGAAAATTAAGCACTTTTAAAAAACACCCAAATGAAAATAGCACCTTTACGGCTTTTAAAAAGCAAAATAAACACCTTTAAGCACTTTTTAAAAGCGCTACGCACCTTGCTATTCTATTCGAGTAACCCAAGTTCTTAAAGCATAAGTTCTCTTAAGTGACACATTCTAAATTCTTTCTCAAGAATTTCAATTCTTTCACTATAATTTTACACAAAGACTGGCACAGAGCCATGTGGAACATAAACTAATTAAGCATCGAAGCTGGCAGGTACACAAAACAAAAATATATCACCATTACAATGAAATATATAAACAAATAACAAATCTAAGTTAAGTAAAATAAGCAGAAGAGAAAGAATTATATTTCAAATAACTTGATGGGCAATACAGCTCTGTATTTTCTTAACTTATAGTTAATTAACATTCCAACTTATGTAGATAAACTTAGCTCAACTTTAATACGCCATTTTGCTGATAAAGATTAGCTGGCGCTGTTGCCATAGGTCACATGTGTGGGTATGGGAAGTCTTCTTGAAGCGCAAGTACCCAATTGAAATTATTCTATCAGTATATGCATGTTTATATTATTTAAGGTATTAAAAAAAATTTAAATTCAGTCAAGAATATTACAGCCATAAAGGCAGCAATTTTGCAAGTAATAATTTATAAATAAATTCTGCGGCTTACCTGGACCATCACATTATCTGAATTTACAGCTTCTTGGGCCTCATTGACCCATCGCTTCACAACATCTGGGGTGGATTTCATCATGTGCTGAAACATTAAATAAATCATTACTTGGTTTCGTATAATTCTTAAAAAAAATCATGAATACAAGGTGAAGCGAAATGTAGCATGCATACAGCTTTAATGTTAAGCAGTGAATGTCAAAAAAATAAATAAGCAGCATTTGAAATGCAGATTACATCATCTATTGTTCAAAAATGTTAGTATTAAGTAAATGCATGAATGATTTCCCCCCCTAGTAATTGTAAAGTTATTAATTTTTAAGGCGATCACTTCTTCAGTACTTTTAACGCATTTTCAAAACATCAAATATTTGACCCGCATCTGTCATCGTTTCTCCACAGGGTACTTAAATAGAAGAACAAAATTCCCTGACTTTCATGGGTTTTCCAGACGTATCCTTTAAAAAAAATCCAGTCTAATATTGCAGTAAGTACTGATGCTGCCATGGACAAAATATACAGTGAATAACAAAAAATTAATATAGGAAATTTATACAATATGTTGCAAATTTCATTTCAATTAAAAAATATAACACCACAATACAGAGAAGAAAAAAATGGTAGTAAAGACTAAGGAAATATATAATATAAAAGAGAGAAAAATATTTTAAGAAAATAATTACATTGATTCTGATCTAGCCAACATAGAGCATTAGAATTTAGTTTTAATTTTGCAATTTAGAGTAAATAGCAGAACTTCTGATGAAAAATCTCCGTTTAATTTTGTATCCCCATTTAATTTAATTTTATACAATGCAACCGCATGATATGAAAGATGCAAAAACGAACAGAAGTTTTTAATGAAAAAAGAGGTATCTCATGCTTTTATAAAAATTACAGTAAAATGCTATTTTTCAATCCTATGAAATCACCATAAATGTTAAACACACAGGTTAAAACAATTTCACTAGTTACTTAACTAGTTAACTCGTCTAACTAGTTACTTAATTAAAAAAATAGATATTTTTAGAAACTTAGCTTATTAAATCTGAGCTTACCAGGGATGAAACTAAGGCGGCACTTGATACTGAACTGTTTTTATCCACTATTGCTTGCTTCATATATCTCTCAATCGCTTGGAGCATGCCACCCTGAAATAAATATTTTTCAATTTTAATTCATTTGTGAGACAGATGATGCATTTACTACCTGCCATGTATCACATTTATATTTTATTTTTTAGAAAAAATTTGTAACTTTTGCAGTTATATTTTATTTCCCATTCATGTAGATATTGAATTCTTATACATGGTGCGTAGCCAAATTATTCAACAAAAAATAAGTACCTTTTAAGCACTCAAAAAATATCTTTAAGCACTTAAAAAAATATAATTAGGAAGAGTTGGAAAGTTTTTGACAATTGACTGTTTTAACTGTCATGTCGAAAAAAAAACAAAAAAAAACTTTTGGCATTGTTTTTGACAATTCTCAAAAATCTTGAAATTTTGAATCACGTATAACAAATGGCGTTTTTATATGCTACGGACTGACAATACACCGAAATAGATTGGGGTTGAATTAATTGTGAAAACATTGAATAGAACAATGTGAACTGTGACTTTTTGCATAATTCAAAGTGAAAATCAACATAGTAAAGGAAAAATCTCATTTTGCAAAAGGAGAAATTGAGCACTTTTTAAAAACACTCAATGAAAAAAGCACCTTTAAGGGCTTTTAAAAAACAAAAATAAGCACCTTTAAGCACTTTTTAAAAGCGCTACACACCCTGTTATAAATAGTGATAAATTAACTTTTACCATGCAGAAAACAATAATAACAGTAACATCTGTTGCAAGTCATTTAAAGTAGAAAACAAAAGTTTAGGTTTTTAAATTTCATAAAAATAATCAGTACTACTATTTAAGAGTGACTGTAAATTACTTAAGAGTGAAATATCAAACTGTGATGATGCACCTTTCAAATATAGAAACATTTTTATTATATTTTTCGTGGATATCCCAGTGGCAGAATTTTTTCGAGCCATCTGCGACAAAACTGTCCAGCACTAATATCTTTCTACAAGATACTTGTAATAATAACAAACATATATGCTACTAATAAAATAACAAAAGAGCTGTGTTTACANATATATATATATATATTTTTATATTGAACATGTAATAATTTTTTATTCTTATATTACAGGTGGTATTTCTTGCATTTTGTTGAATGGAAAAATGCACTATTTATTTACTTTGCATTTTGTAAATAATCATCACAATAAAAAAATCATGAAGTCCGTTGATGAAAAAAATAATAATAATCATGCGAATCGAACTCCTCAAAAAGGGATTACTCAAATGCATGTTTTGTCTCGAGATGAGGTTGTAGTAATAAATAATACTGCATAAAAAAATATCTGATTTAAAAACTACGGAGAAATAAATAGCAATAACTGCCAAAATTTCGATAGAATCATTGTCTTCAAAAGTAAATACAAAAATAGAAATGTGGATTTGGCAAAAAAAAAGGGGGCAGAAATATGAAGAAGGATTATAACAAAAATGTCTTGAACCTACCAATAAGTAAGCAAAGCTTTTTTTCTTCTTTTTTTTTGTCTCCAATGTGTATTTTTAACATTTTTTATAATATAAATTTAAGAAATTTTCATAATTCTTCTGATTGAATTCTTCACAATTACTACCATTCTTAACAATAGAATCTATGTGTTTTTTTTTTAAAAACTAGATTATATCGCAGGTTATATATTGCAGTATAAACAATGTTAGGTTTCCTTGAGTATAATTATACATAGCTGCCAACATGGATAGGAAAAAAATCCAGTAGATTATGCAAAATATGAATTTCATGATAAATGTTGCATAATGTACTAAACAGTTTACACATAGGGAATTTTATAATCATCAAAATAGAAAACCTGCAATATTTTCCAATTATGATTGACATTAAACATACTTGAAATGCTATGTATTATGTTTACTCAAAATTTTGAATATTAATAGGCATTTAATTCATCAAAGATAGATTTTTAATTAATTTAAAAAGAGAGTTCTGAATAAAAATAAACATTTTACAGCAAAAAAAAAAAAAAAAAAAAAAAAAAAAANTTAAGACTCTGTAAAAAAAAAAAAAAAAAAAAAAAAGGTTTGAACTGATTTCTATAAATGAGGTTTTGCTTCATTATACATATATTAGTAATACTTATTTTAATATTCTGGCAAGGAAGCAAGAAACTGTAGATAAATTCTATTTCAAAAGGGATTTTTTTTTAGGAAACTTACTCAATTTTAGGGAATTTTCTAAAATGTACAAAAATCAGGAGAATTTTAATTAAACCAGTGTAAACTGGTAAAATCCAGCTTAGTCTACTGGAAAAACCAGTAGAGTTGGCAGCTATGAGTATATCAAAACAGGCAAAAATGTGTTACTGTAAAAGTTCTTCTAAGCCTTTTCTTTTTTTAATGAGTTGAAAAAGAAACAATGAAAGATGATTTAAGATGAAAACTCATGATCATTAATGCTGAGAATATATGAGAAAAGTAAAAATACTTACATCTGTAATGGTACATAGAGCTCTGATTGCAGCTGGTCTATACTGTTCTTCCTAAAAACATATTCATGTTATAATACAGGTTTTATAACATGAAAAATAAGTACATTTCAAGCACCATATACATTAACAAAATGCAAAATAATTTTCAAAGACTTTACATGATCATGATAAAATAATGATTATATTAGCAATTATAAAAAATGATCAAGAGATTTTTTGGTTCAATATCAGAGGGTGAAAAATGAAGCCTGAAATTGAGAATATTTTGTAAAATGCAGAGTTGCACTTGAGAGCGCAATAATCATACTGAACCCAGCTCAGTAGACTTACATGCACTCACAAGCATTTCATCAAGCATGCAAAATGTTTGATGAAATACTTGTGAGTCTGCAATACCATAGGTTCATAGCGCTTTTATACGCTAACGTCGGATGATACGACGAAATAGATTGTGGTTGAATGAATTGCAAAAACTTCGAATAGAACTATGTGAAAAGCACGATTTTGCATAATACGTGGCGAAAATCGACGCAATAAAGAAAAAAAATCTAATTTTCGAAAAGGGAAAATTAAGCACTTTTTAAAAACTACCAATGAAAAAAGCACCTTTAAGGACTTTCAAAAAATGCTACGGAACAAGTAATAATAAACCTATAGGAGTCAGAGGAACAGCCAACAAAGACAAACATTAAATAAAGGGTACAAAATATAAAAAACAAACACCCTGAATAACTTTCAGTCTAATGAATGAATCTTTTTACATGAGAACTGTCTTAATGGTATGAGAACCTAAACTAAAGCATAAATATGCAAATTAATGTAGTAAATATGCTAATTAATCAATGCAAATTATGTTTTAAGAAATCAAATCTGACATAAGAATATACTTTCTCTGAGCATTATTTTTTTATGTATTTAGATTTCTGTCTATCAGTAAAGATAGTGATAAAATAGTTAAGATGGAAAAGCAGACGAAAGTTTGGGCCTCTTAATATTAAATTTTCTCCTGAACAAGTAGATAGTTAAATAATTGTAATAAAAGTTAATATAAATAATAAAAAAAGTTTAATAAAATTAAAAATTGAGAAACACAAACACAGGGTTCCCACTCAATTTCAGAAAAAAAATTCTGACTTTTCCAAGTATATCAGGTAAATTTCAATGCAAATCAATACCATATTTTATCTATGCTACGAAATTTTTCATCAGAAAATTTTGATTCTTTAATTTGTAATGCCAAGTATTGGATTTTCTATGTAAAATAAATATCCTTATATGAAGAAGTAAGCATTTTAGTTTGTCTAAAATGAGAAATTTTTACAATAAATAATTGTAATAGGTGTTAGAATTATTTAACTCGAATCTCAACAACTGAGTACTGTTACTGACAATTTTAAGACTGGTTTTTTTCCAGGTATAATGAAGGAATATTCCAGGTTTTTGCAAAAAAATTGCAACTTCCCCTGACTTTTGGAGTTGAAATAAAATTCCCTGCAATTCCAGGTTTTCCCTGACCCGAAGGAACAATGAAACATAAAATAAAATTTCTTTAAAATTTTACTACTCAGAAACCATTTAACAGATTTTATTCAAATTTTGCATTTTATGATTTAAAACGGCACAGTTTAAAATAAAAACAATTTTTTACACAGCATTTTCTTTGGAAAAAGAATTTCATAATTATGTGCAAAATTTTTTTTATTTGATAAAAACCCTATCTGAAATATAGCAAAATACACAAAAAGTAAAATTAACACCAAGAGGGCCCGAATTAGGCTAGTGTTCTGAGTTAGCTTATTAAAAGCAAAACTGTGCTACAATAATCTTAATATTGTAATTAATATTTCTGATTTCTCAATAAATTATGGCTCATTATTAGTGAGTTTGACTGTATAACAATATCAAGAACTTTTGTCCCAAAAATCTAAATTAACACTGCAATCAAACAAAGTAACTGTAATTGAAAAAATATAGAATTTAAACTTACTTTTCCAGTCATATCTTTAGTCAAGCTAGACATAAAAATAAATATCAAATAAATAGAAGAATTTTAAGCATAACATAACAAATAAAACACTTTATAAAGTGCAACATTTCTTTAATAATAAAATAGAAACCTCTATTTTTATAAAAAAAAAGTCAGTTAGTAAAGAAATCATTATCAATATAAAAGTCATAGCTCAGTAAAAATTTCCTCAGAATGCTAAATCAACATCCATACCAAATATATCATAGTTCATATACCACTAGCATTTATGTACGTTAAAATAAATTAGCAGAAAATATTATCATAGGGCAATTGGAAAATCTAATGCTATATTAGTTAGATTTGCTAACATAATAAGCTCAATATAAAATTGTTTCTGGCCAAAATTTGCAATTAAAATAATGGATATAAAACTTATTAGGAATTAACTTTACACAACATTTATTTGGCAAAAAAAACATTTGAATAATTTTATAGTAAAAAAGGTGAATAGGAATTTAAAAAACAAAACTGTTGATTAAGTTGCAATGGTAAATGAGCAGAAATTAGAATTTTATCTGAACTCTGCAAGTAAAGCTGTGTTAATGCAATAAAACTTTTTTGGAACTTTTAATTTAATAATTTTAAATCTTTTATGTAACTATCGGTTTGCCATTAAGAAATAAAACTTAAGAACCTAAAATTTCCCTCAAAATCGGTTACATTGCTACAAAACCAGTAATTGATAGTTAACAAACATTTAACTTTTACATTCAAAGCAAATCTTGAAATTTCATGAAGGTTTCAGGAACACGGGTGATTGTGAGCCCAACTCAAAAATCCTGAAAATTTCTTGAGTGAAATCATTAATGATGCATTTCCAAAAATTGATATCTCTATAAATTTAAATTATTGATATTTTCACAACATGAAATTATAAATAAATTATAGGCAGCATAATTTAAATTAATAATTATTTATAAGTTTACTTTTATCTCTAATCACATTTATTATTCTACCAGAAAAAATATTTACAAATGAAAGCGATGCAAAGTATAAATTCTAGTTCTAATATTTTAAAATAAAATATCCATGATTTCTTGAACCTTCTGGACCTTGAATTTCCGGATCGCAGTTAGCGAAAACTCCGGAAATCCAGATTCTTAAATAATAATAAATATTTAAATAATTTCTGAAAAAAGAAAAGAAAAACAGACTTTTTGATGAAAAATCTGGGGTAAAGGCAATCTTAAAGTTTAAAATAAGTCTACGTAAAACACTTAAAGCTAAAACAAACCTGCTGGTAACAATGATAACATCTTCTGCTATGCCTGCCAGTTCTTTGATACACAGATAGACCAAACGGCGGATGGTAGGATCATTTGATTGGAACAATTTGGTCATAGCAAAAAAAGCTTCTGTTGCTTCTACAGTAGCAAGTTGTTCACCCTGTAAAAGTTTGTAAATAAATTAACTGTAACAATATGAGTAACAGATATATATGATATACTGGAACAAACATATGCTGTTCATGGGAAATTTGTTACCATCAAGGGAAATTTTTTACAATTACTTATTGAAGAAAAAGTTATAATTCCTCTATTCTGATGCATAGGACAATTTAACAGAGATTGATATGAGAATTTTTTTCTCTGCTTTGCCCACTCACATTATTTCCGAGATTGTGTAATTGCACTCGACTTTCTGCCATCTCGTACATTTATTTACATGACCTAAAATCACACATTGCAATTCATATTCACACTTTTTGAAAACATGCATTACCATTCATATTTACATGATTTAAGATCACAGACTGCAACTTATATTTACGTGATTTAAGACTGCACATTGTATTTCATTTTTTGCATGATTTTGCATCAAACACCGAGATTCACGTTCCCACAATTTAAGATTGCTCATTGTGTTTTGTATTTCCCCCAATTTTGCATAAAATATCGAGACGAGATTCATATCCACACAATTTAAAAGCCACTATTGTGATTCATGCTCCTGTTATTGAAAAGTTAAGACATAAAAGTTCATATCTGCATAATTTGAAAATCAAACATCGAAATTTGTATTCAAGTGAAATTAAACAAGATTTGCAATTTTAAAATCCAAAACAGAGATTCATATTTAACTGAATTTAAAATCAAAAATCGTGCGTGTTTAAAGTGTTTTTACTATTTATAGCAGATTTGTATTTTTATTCAGTTCAGTTATTTCAAGGAAATTGTTTTGTTTTCCATACAAAGGCAGAAACTTGTGAGTAAAACTCAATCCATAACTTTAAATATGTTCAGTAAATTGTATTGATAAGCTATTTTGGAAATCTTTTTAAATGTACAACATGTGTGTTATATTACTATTTACGCCCTATCATTCTGTTTCAAAAAATAAAATTTAAAAGAAATTTGGTTTTCAGTGTTAAAAATACTATGTTGGGTTGAAATTAAACAAGTAAATTATTTATCAGTTATTTCAGTATAAAATATAAAGCATTAAAGTATAAAATATAAACAAGTTAACAAGCTCAGTATAAAATATAAAGCAAGCTAACACAGAAGTAAAAAGAAATAACCCTATCATACAAAAATGCTTAGCTAAGCCTAGCCGTATACTTTACTCAACATTTAAAAAATTTCATAATAAATAGAATTTTACATTTATTCTTAAGCTTCTGGGTAGATGTGTTTTAAAGATGTCCCTCTACTAGTTTTTTCTAAAAATTATTCCATAAATTTTCTGAAATTTAAAGGAGAAAATATATGTTTTTTTAACATTTACCCACTATACCCTACCTGACCCTATATAGCAGACAGGCACTAAAATAAAAACAATTGAGAGGGAAAGAACATTTATTAATATCTAATATTTTTTTCATTTTAAAAAATGTATTTTCCAGTGACCACTAAACAGTATTTTCAGCAAGCAAAAAAGTAATCTTAACTGTAATCCTACTGCAGCACAAAAATACTCTTTATTCTAAAAGTAAAAAATCTGTATCTTAGTCACCTTTTTGCCAAAACAAGAAAATTTTATAATATTTAAAAAAAATTTAGTAGACTCTTGTGAAGATGTCCAAATTTTATCAAAAAAACTGAAATACTTCAATTTATTTTCGTATCAACTTTTATAATTGTTTTTCTTTAAAATATATTTTTAAACTAACAAACATATAAATTATATCTAATTCGAAAGACGGAAATAGCTTTTCAATAGAGAAATGTCTTTGATGAAAAAAAGGGTGGTGTGAAAAATATGTTTAATGAAAAATGATGATGTGATGAAAAATATGTTGATGAAATAAATCTTTGATGAAAAATATGTTTAAACATATTTATTTTTGAAAAATATTTATCTTGAATAATACCTCTAGACACGTTCAGAAAATTGAATAAGTCAGTTGGTTTTTATAGGAGCAATTAGATTACTTTTCATTCACATAGTTTATAATGTTTCAACTGTCAGAACTCAATTGACATGGATGCAACTGCAAGTTCCTTACTTAAAGAGTTCGAAACGTAAAACTTCGCTTTACTTAATAATATCTAAATTTTCAAACATTCTATTTATTTGAACTTCCCGGTAATTTGGGCTTCAAAAAAGCAAAGCTGAAGCCTAAAACAAAACAGAGTTATGAAAATGAAATAAAAAACACATTGTTAACAAAGCAAAATAAAGTATATTAGTAAACAGGGGAGAAAAAAAAAATAAAAACAAAATAATCTATCAAAGATAAAATAAAAAGAGGAAATACTTAGATTAGATATGTAAAAACTCACTTGATTTAATAGATATATCATCTTTGTCAAAATGTTCGCACATTTTCTAGTATTCAAGGGTGTTTCATTAAAAGTTCTTGCCTAAATTTTAAATAAAAACAATTGTTTAGAATAAGGAAAAATAAAAGATTTCACAAAAAAATAATAAATAAATGTACATTTACAGACTACATACATAGCTTCTAACATGGATAGGAAAAAATCCTGTAGATTTTATAAAATATAAATTTCATGATAATTGTCGCATAATGTATTACATATTTTATACATAGGGAATTTCAGGGATTTTTATGGTCATTAAAACATAAAAACTACAATATTTTCCAGTTATGATCCGCATTAAATACATTTGAAATGTTATGTATAATATTTACTCATAATTTTGAACAGTAATAGGTAAAGATAGTTAAAAGATTTTTTTAATTAAATTAAAATATAAATTCTGCAATAAAATAAACTGAACATTTAAAGGGAAAAAAAGTTTTAAACTGATTTCTCAAAAAGGAGGCTTACTTTATTATCTATTAGTATCTATTCGAGCATACAATTTAAGCAAAAATTCCATTTCAATGGGGATGTTTTTTAGGAAACTGACTCAATTTTAAGGGAATTTTTTAGAACGTACAAAAACCAAGAGAACTTTTATTAAATCAGCAGAAACTTGCAAAATCCAGTAGAGTTGGCAGCTATGTACATACATACAATGCAAAAAATAAACTAAATACTAGTACTATCTCTTATTTAAGAATTTGGTAAACTGTAAGTAGATAAAAGTAATTACAAGCAAACATTTATCACACAAAAAATTTTGTTTTCAAGGTTGATATTTTAAAATAAAGATGAGTAATTTATTTTAATAGACGAATATTAATGATAATATTCAATAATGATTCATTTATATAATCAATAAATAAAATCATAAAGCTCCTACACAAACAAATATTTTATAAAATATAAATCACTTACAGAAAATTAAATCTCGAAATTATAGGTACTAAAACTAAATAAGAACATATTACATTAAAATATGCATTATAAAAGTTTCAAGAAAAATTTTTACTTCTTGCAAAACAGTTGTTTTTTCTAAGTTATTAAACGGATTTCCACTCCCACCTGTAAGAGCAAAGAAGAAAGTAAATGGACCATTCGTAAATGGCAACATGATAAGAATTACAGGAATTATAATGTTCAACATCATTCAAAACGTAAAATATTTAATATGTTATAGATTAAAGAATCAAAAAAAAAAAAAGATAAAAAGTATACCTTTTAGTTTATTTTTGTATAATTAAATTTTCTATTTAACAGGGTACATAGCCAAATATTTCAACAAAAAATAAGCACCTTTTAAGTACTTTTTAAGCCTTTAAAAAATATTTGTATTAAGAAAAACCAAAACAATTTTCTAAGACTTTACATGATCATGATAAAATAACTAGTTCCTAACAAAGAAACTCTTTTCTTGATTATATTAACCACCATAAAAAGATTGAAAGACTTTTCAGTTCAAAAAAATGAGGGTGGAAAATAAAGCCTGAAATTGAGAATATCTAGCAAAATGCAGCGGAGTTACACATGAGAGTGCAAGAATTTCACCAAACTTAGTAGACGAAGAATGCGGACTCTAAAGTATTTCATCAAACACGTAAAATGATTGCCGCTTTCATACGATATGAACCGATCGTAGGACAAAATGGATTGTGGTTGAATGAATTGTGAAAATGTTGAATAGAACAATTTGAAAAGCATGCTTTTGCATAGTATGTGCTGAAAATCATCATGGTAAAGAAAAGAAGAAAAAAAATCTCATTTTCGAAAACAGAAAAATCAAGCACTTTTTAAAAACACCAAATGAAAAAAGCCCCCTTAAGGGCTTGTAAAACACGAAAATAAGCAGCTTTAAGCCCTTTTTAAAAATGCTATCAGGGGTCTGTCTAGGTTTTTCTAAGAAAGATTTTGTGAAAATTTAGGTATAAATTGTGAAAATAAAAAAACCAACACAAAAATATGTCAAAAATTTGGATTAGTCGTTTCCTACAAATACAAAAATAAAATTTTAAGAAAAAGTATTTTGTGAAACTACAGTTTCTCCTAAAGTTGAATTTGTGAAGGTACCGCTAAATGGTAGTAAATTTGGCTTAGACTATGCACTATGCTTATACTAATTTTACATTTATTAATTAAGAATTATAAGCAAATACTTATATTTAGTGAAGCTTTTAAAAATTGAGCAATCTTAATTTAATATAAACCATGCTTTAGCCAAAGAACATAGAAAAGACAAGTGCAGCTCTCCCACATTATAACTAATGCGGGGAACTTTCAGTAAGTGATGTTATACTAGAAAACAATTTTTGTGAGAACAACACACTGGGATTTGTTGGAACATATGTACAAAAAATTCAGCACACTCATATTAGAAGTGAGGTGATGTTACTCAAACTAGTTGTTGGTATGCTTCACTGCCTCCTGCTATTTCATTCTTTTACGCTATCTCTAAATGTGCTAGCAAATATTAACATACATGATATACATGAATTTTCATATAAATATCTTAATAAACTGTATAGTAATGTTAAAAAATAGTACAAAAGTGTGGAAACAGATATATTAATAAAAAAACATTGATTTGCTTTCGCAACGATAGCTGTAGTTGGGTCGTTGCAAACCTGCTTCAAGAAGTTCATTTGCTATGAGGACTCTAGATGTTGCTTTTTCCGCTATGCATGAGAGCTCTAATAACCATATGGAGACTGGTTTACATTATGTCTATGGAAGTCTACCCCTAAGCAGGGTTTAAGCTGAGTCTAAAAATTCATTAGCAAAAAAGCTAAAATCTGAAAAAAAGTTTTAGCAAAATGCTAAAATGCCATTAGGCTTATAAAATTACTTTATATCAAACAAGTACTGTAAGTTATCTGACAAAGAATAGCTTAATGTACAAGAATATCAAAAAGAATACCTATAACAAAAATCATT